CTCTGGGACGTCCTGAAGACTTCTTCACTGCAGTCGAACCTCTCTCCTTGAAGTTCTTGATGATCTGGTACATGATTCTTTCAGGTGCAATATTCTTTGTAGCAATTTCCTTGCATGTGAGGCCATTTTGATGCAAAGCGATGATGGCTGCACGCGTTTCTTTGGAGGTAACCAATTGCTAACAAGAACACAATTATTGGAAGCACTTCTTCCCTCCTTTTATGGCAATCAGTCTGCTCTTACAATCGAATTAGTATGATAGTGATTAACCCGACTAGTACTCATTCACACATTCACATGTGCTGCTGATATAATTAGTCAATTAATGTTAGCTGGTCATTTTGTGTCAGGATCAAACAGTGATTTTTTTTTTTTTTTTTTGAAAAGTTTTTTTTTTTTTTTTTTTTTTTTTTTTGTGCGTTTCCCCCCGCCATAATGGAGGAACAAGTACTGTTCATCACAGTGGTTCAAGCAAGCCCAGACCCTATCGTCTTCGCGAGTGCGATTGTGCCCTCGCCAGCTCCCTCGATGGGGAAACCCTCATGTTCCATCATCCCATGGAGCACCCAGACACCACCGACCTCAACTGGAAGGATACAGCTCGCTCCAGCAGCCCCAGAGCTCGCTCCAGAGTCGGCTCCAGCAGCCCCAGAGCTCGCTCCAGAGTCGGCTCCTCCAGAGCACCCTCCAGTGCCAGCACCACGTAAGCGCTACCCTGATCCCCCGTTCAGCCCAGGGAGGGCTCCTGTTTCCCCCGTTCAGCCCAGGGAGGGCTCCTGTTTCCCCCGTTCAGCCCAGGGAGGGCTCCTGTTTCCCCCGTTCAGCCCAGGGAGGGCTCCTGTTTCCCCCGTTCAGCCCAGGGAGGGCTCCTGTTTCCCCCGTTCAGCCCAGGGAGGGCTCGGGCCCCAGACCCCGAGTACAGCCCCGTAAATTTCCCCAAGTATTTTTTTTGGGGGGGGTAGTAGGGCTCCAGCCGTGGGGGCTGGGGCTGCGGCCTCGGAGGCTGCTCCGCCATGGCGCCCCGAACGGCTCCAGAGCGCCCACCTCCCCATCCCCATTGGATGTTATATGGCGTGAGGACACGCCTTCCGGAGGGGGGCGTTATGTCAGACTCTGGCTGCGTCCGAAATCGCATACTGCTTAGTAGGTACTACGCTTCAAGGCCCTGGAAGTGAGTCCTGCCTTTGTGCCAGATGTTGTTGCATGCTGTGCGGTGCTCCACAACCTCTGTCTTCAGAACGGGGACATTGTTGATCCAGAGGTTGTAGAGGATCCTGCCGATGACCCACCTGAACCCCAAAACACAGAAGCCAGCGCAGGAGAGGATGTGCGGGACAATCTGGCTGCAGCTGCGTCAGCACCAGACAACTGTGTGCCTGCTCTTCATGAGCATGATTACCTGTAAGACAATTTAACAGGTTAAGACTCTGCAAATTGTTATTGTTCTCAGTTTGACATTGTTTAAGCTTGTCTATGTTAGCTGGTTAATATATAAATAGTTAGTTGTGTGTGTGTGGGCACCGCCCACAGGGTGTTGTGATGCAAAAAGTGCAGTAGCAGCAGTTATAGAGAGGTGGAAGTGCATAGTATCTGTGTGCATCCCTCTTGCTTACTGCCACTGGCAGCCCTTGTAAAGAAAAAACAATTTTTCAGGGTTTCTGCAGGATTTATAAAGGTAAATTTAAGAACATTTTAAAGAAAGTTTAATGAATGATTTGAAGGGAATACAACTCTTCAATATTTTCTCTAAATGTAAATTTATAGGGAGTATACATAGCAACACTTAAACGGTTGCAACACTCCAAAAAAAAAAAGATTTGTACTTATCTCCTTTAAAACTATTTCTTTGTCAAATTAAAGTATGAATAACGCTCCCAAACACTACAATAAGGAAATAACTTTTACTGTACTATCTGACCACACTGTAAAAAGTGATGTTCTTAGCATTTTTTTTGTCGTTTTCCAGTGCAAATGTCTACTTATTAAGACTTACAATTGTGGACATGAAAACCCTGTTTTTATAGAAGTTTTCATCTGCCAGTGCACAGCCTCTCCATCACCAAGACTCCTGTCGGGCCTCCTCGCGGCTGCACATGGTAACTGGGGATATTGCATCCCCAGGCTAATCGACAGGGGATCTCGGAGCTGCAGTGGTCCCCAGAGGTGGCAGCCACCAACCACTGTCACACTGCCTAAGGCTGTGTGTGTGAATTTGTATAACAATTCTTTGTCTACTAAATACTGAGCAAAGGGTCTGAATACTTAGGACCATGTGATATTTCAGTTTTTCTTTTTTAATAAATCTGCAAAAATGTCAACAATTCTGTGTTTTTCTGTCAATATGGGGTGCTGTGTGTACATTAATGAGGAAAAAAAATGAACTTAAATTATTTTAGCAAATGGCTGCAATATAACAAAGAGTGAAAAATTTAAGGGGGTCTGAATACTTTCCGTACCCACTGTATATATATATACACCAGTACACAGCTTCTCCATCACCAGGGCTTCTGTCGGGCCTCCTCGCGGCTGCACATGGTAACTGGGGATATTGCAGCCCCAGGCTAATCGACAGGGGATCTCGGAGCTGCAGTGGTCCCCAGAGGTGGCAGCCACCAGCCACTGTCACACTGCCTAAGGCTGTGTGTGTGAATCTGTATAACAATTCTTTGAAATTCTAAATACCCATCACAAATGTTACTTTTGGGTTATATTTATTTGAGCATAATTTTACAAATTACATTATTTCTCGGGTAATAAAGTGAAGCCCTATAAATGTGATTAGTAGATGATATTACTACACGTTAACCTCAAGAACCTTGAAAACTGTGAAGTTACCTGTCTGAAGATGCTGAAGTTCATTTTCCTGGCACCATTATAAAAATGTTTTAGGAAATTTCCATTTGGTGTTGCTTTAAACTCTATTATACTACTTGATGCAAAATGATTTTGCCTTA